CAATACCACTCTCAGCTATTTATAGAGCTCCAAGCCAGTCTAAGATACACAGAAATCTCAAATTAACCAAGCTACATAATGAGAGCATCTCAAAAATAAAAAATTCAATTTAATATCATGCAAAAAACACATGGCTACATTGTACCATTATTCAATATCATTATTAGATAAGTCACTTCTCAAACCACACCTGCACAAAGAATTATTACAAATAATTCTCACCAGACCATAGCACACACCTTTAATCCCAGAACTTGGAAGACAGAGGCAGCCAAATCTCTGTGAATGAGGCCAGCCTGATCTATATAGTGAGTTCCAGGACAGGCTTCAAAGCTACACAGCGAAACCCTGCCTCTAAATAAATAAGTAAGTAAATAAATAAATGCTAGCATTCCACAGTGAGACCCCCCTTCCGGGACCAGGAGGTGGCCGTACATGAAGTGAGTTCCATCACCTGAACCCACAGAAGGCAGGTGTGACATCTATAACCGGAGCCCTCCAATGACAACGTGGGAGGCCGAGACAGAAAAACTGTCCCAAAGCTGCACAGAGTCACAAACAAGAGAAACCCTGTCTCAACTATGAATTCATCATGGTTGATACTTTCCGTGGGCTTTCCAAACCACAGTCTGAGTAACACCAATGGTCAGGGGATGTGCTTGAAATCTATCCTGCGTCTAAGTTTCTCCTCCGTATAAAATAAAGTGACAGTCATTGCTTCTTTCTAGACCCAAAGGGTAACGACAGTCTCTAGAGCAGATTCCCAAGCTTTTAGATTCATGGTACCCTTGGTGTCTCAGTAATCTCCTTGAAGCAGCCCTCTACCAAAAAATAAAATAAAATAACACCAGCTCCACTCATTAGGTCCTTGGAAACCATTTGAAAAGGGAATCTTGGGGCAGGGGAGATGACTCAGTGGGTAAGAGCATTCCTTGCTCTTGCAGAGGACCCGGGTTTGATTTCCAGCACTCACATGGTGGCTCCCAACCATCTATAACTCTAGTTCCAAGGGACCTGACGCCTTCTTCCGACCTCCAAGTACTCCAGGCCCAAATGCACTCATGTGGAAACAGGTAGGCAAAACCCTCAAGACGCACACAATTCCTTTCTAAAAAAGAAAAATGAATCTAACAAAATTGAAATTTTTCATGGTTTTATTTTATCTTTAAGCAACCAGAATAACCTATGGAATCTTACTATGGGGCACAGGACAAACTTGTCATGTTTGGAATTAGAATGGAGACTGGCTCTATTTTCCGTTCCATGGCAGCTTCCTTGACTAAGGAACAAGGCATCCTAATCTGAAGCCACAGTACCAAATTAAAGCTTGCAAACGACTTTTTAGGAAAAAGGTCACAAAGCATCTAAATGGACAAATTGGTAAACTTGCTGCTAACTCTACTTCAATAAATGCTGCATTCAAGAACTGAACTATCTTCCTTCCATATCCCAGCTGGGGGAGCAGAGGACTGGAAAAGACACATAAAACCATCCTCTAAGGCCTGGAAAGATGGCTCAGCGGTTAGGAGCACTGGCTGCTTTTCCAGGGGTCCTGTGTTCAATTCCCAGCAACCACGTGGTGGCTCACAACCCTCTGTAATGGGATTTAGTGCCCTCTTCTGGCCCGCAGCATACATGCAGGCAGAACACTGCACATAATAAATAAATAAATCTTTACAAACACACACAGTCTAAGAGCCGCTCAACACTATGAAAAAATAAAACTTATATAAATTAGAACTTTTTATTTACTGTGTGCATTTGTGTGCCAAACCACATGCAGAGGTTAGAGGACAGCTTGCAGTAAACCCTGAGCTATCCCGGCCGGCCCAATTAGAACTTTTTAAATGGCACTAGAACTGTTTGTTTTGTTATTTTTTAAAGATTTATTTATTTATTTATTTATTTATTATGTATATAACATTCTGCTTCGATGTATGCCCACACACCAGAGGAGGGCGCCAGATCTCAGTACAGATGGTTGTGAGCCACCATGTGATTGCTGGGAATTGAACTCAGGACCTCTGGAAGAGCAGCCAGTGCTCTTTACCTCTGAGCCATCTCTCCAGCCCTAGAACTGTTTTTTTTTAAATATTTATTTATTTATCATGTATACAATGTTCTGTCTGTATGTATGCCTGCAGGCCAGAAGAGGGCACCAGACCCCATTACAGATGGTTGTGAGCCACCATGTGGTTGCTGGGAATTGAACTCAGGACCTTTGGAAGAGCAGGCAATGCTCTTAACCTCTGAGCCATCACTCCAGCCCCCTTAGAACTGTTTTTTTAAATAAAACTTAGACAAAGCAAAATTTGTTTGACTATATCACAGACACCGCTACGCACTCCCAACCTATCAAAAACTTAAGGCTAGTTACAAATGTAATATGCATCTTTTATCTGAAAAACATCTTTAGTGTGATTTGTAATACAGGAGTATTTGTAAGAGCCTGGTTCCTGAAAGGGTTTTCTGAAACACCTCATTTGGTCCTATGCCATTACCTTTGTCTACTAAAGAAACTGAGGTCCATATTACCCAAACAACTGCTCTACCACCATACATCACATTGCTCAACACAAAAGCCCAGTCTTTCAGCTCTTACCAAACTCTTTCTCAAAAAAGACTGAGTCAATCTTATCTGCTTAACTATTGTAAGTTGTCTGAGACATCATCAAAATTCTGAAAATCTTTTTCCTGCACAGGAAAAACTTCCACCTTCAGAGAGACTTTTCATTTGCCATGTGTCTTGAACAGTGTGACATTAATTAACAATTATTCTTAGATTTTGACCCAATCTATTATCAATCCTTAGCAACTATATCAATGGCAATGCTGAGGCAAATGATTCCTTAGTCCAACTTCTGTTGCGTTTTTGCTTAGCTGATGGCCCAAAGCTCAACGCTAGATATATCAAACCATCCTCTTCCAGTATTAATACAAAATAAGTACACTGGTCAAAATTCAGGGGAACTCAGGCTTACCTGCTATTCAAACTGCAGTGGCACCCATGCCTGCCTCTTAACTTCGTCCAAATAAATTCTAAAAACAATTTACCATCAGTTTCCCTAAAATTCTCACATTTTTCTCTCTGACAAATAAATTACTATTATTTCTAAAGTATCCTAAAACTTAACTTAAGGTATCCTACTTCACAGTAACTATTTCCTTCAAAAAAGAATGTAAATATAATTTAATAACGAAATTAATACATCAGAAGCTTAATGATTAAAGAAATTCTGCAGAAAATCTTAATATGAAGTCCACCAATTTCATAGTTTTAAAAAATTAGCCTTTTTTTAGCCAGAGAGAGTGTAAAAAATGCGAACCGGTAAAGAGATGTATCGGGCACGTCGCAAACGCCTTAATCCTAGCACATGGGAGGAGACAGAGGCAGGAGGACTTTTAGGAGTTCCAGGCCAGCATGATGTGCAGAGTTCCAAGGCAGACAAAGCAACACTGAGACGTTTCTCAGAAGAGACAGGTGAAGAGCAGCTTAAGAACCGCCTTAGGGTTAATCTTCGATAACATCGTATATTACGCATTTTCACTACAGGTTACTTTGAAGAACTTCATATTCGGGCCTTTCCCTAGCTATGTAAATCCATCATATCGGGAACTTCATTTTCATGGAGAACAGAAAATCGACTCTGCTTTCTTAGAAAGGTCATAGCTATCATATCTTGTAAAATACCCAGCCCACCCTGGTCATCTACACTCAGATCAAAAGAAAAAGAATGGGGAGGGGGGAGCAGAGAAAGACCTATTTGGAAAACGTTTCTTCTGCCAAGGGCTGTACCCAGACAAAGGCAATGTTCGGAGTACTCAAATAAGCCTTCTCCGAGGGAAATAAAGTGCTAGAAAAGGAGCGGCATGGATCAGGATTAATGGAGGGGAAGAGTGTGAGCGCTCGGTGCGTGAGGGTTGCAAGCCGCAAGCACAGCGCTCGAGATGCTCCAGCAAAAGAACCAGCAGCAGGAAGTTTCAATGGGGCCGGGCAGAGCATGCGCCCTGCACCCGCGCGGTGGCCTTATGTGGAAGGAGCACCACTTGCGAACACCAATAATAGACCAGCGGCACCAGAGAGAGAAACATGAGCAACAAGCACCTTCTTCAACTGTTTCTCCTACCGTCTGCGCCCCTCCTCCAGCCTACAGACTAACCACCCCACCCCACCCTGCAAATGGAAGAGTGACTTCTTCTTCCCCTAAGCCCTGTAGCTGCGATAGGGGGGAAGGGAGAGAGAAAAGTGGGAGATGCTTTTCTATTATTTTGGGGGAGGTGGTGAGGAGGAAAACTATGGAGGAGGAGAAATTAACCCTTGCCTCCCCAGAGTGGAGAAGCTGAGCCGACTTCATTTCCCCTCCTGATGAGGGACTGGGGGAAGCCCCCTTCCCTGAGCGGAGAAGCTCTCCCTAAGGCCAGGAAGGAGTTTGGGGGTTTAGACCAGCCCTCCAGGGCACGGGAAGAGACGGGAACCGACTCTCTCAGGGGAGTTCCCACCACAGGGAGAGTGGAGTGTCCGTCGGCCCCCGCCCACTCAGGTGGAGTGAGCCGAGGGGGCGCCGGGAGAAGATGGGCCCGGCCTCCCCGGAGACAGTGGGGAGGATCGGAGGGAGGAGGGGGAGGAGAAAAGCGCAAGGCTGGCCGGAACCTGCTCTCCCCTTCCCCCGCCACCTAAGGGGATCAGAACTGGGGGGGCCCACACCGGCGCGGGGGACCCGGCCCCAGGGCGTCTGCCCAGCACAATGATCCCTCCCGGGCCCCGGCCCCCACCGGGCCCGCGACGCCCCCACCTCCGTCCCCGCGGGGCACAGTGGCTCTAGAGGGGGGGCCTCCGCCCCGCCTCCCCAGCACCCGGGACCCCCCCTTCTCCCCGGGATCCGCGGAGCGGAGCCCGGTCCCTGGAGAAGGGGGAGCCGGTCGCAGAGCCCCGGGAGGTCTACGGAGAGGCAGAGCGCGCCAGGGCCGCTTCCCGCCGGGCGTTCGGGCCGATCGCTCACCTTCTCCGTGGCCGATGTCCGGCGGTGGCGCCTGCAGCACCCGCTCTAGCTCGGGGAAGGGCAGCTCGGGCAGGTCCAGCAGCGGCCCGTAGCGTTCCAGGAAGGAGCAGACGACGGCGAAGTTGGGGCACGAACCCGGGCAGCCCGGAGGAGCCATCGCCGCCGCCGCCGCCGCCGCCGCCGTCGCCATTTTGAACTGGAGGATGGAGGAGGAGGGGATGGGGGGGGAGCGGCGGCGGCGGGAGGAGTTCGGGGGGAGCCAAGGGCCGGCAGGGCCGCCGTGCGGACGACAGGAGGCGCTCGATCGCTCTCTCGAGTGGACGGCCCGGCGGCGGCGAGCGTCTCAGGCCCGGGCGCCGCGATCCCACAATACCACGCCGGCCCGGAGCAGTCGAGAAGCGCGTGCGCTAGGGGGGCCAGAGAGGCGCTCCGGGGCCTCCGCTCTCCGCCCTCTTCCCGTCCCCGGCCCTCGCCGACTTCTTCTCCCCTCCCACTTCGGGGTCGCCGCGGCCTCGTGTGACAGGGGGAATGAAAACAAGGGGAGCGGGGCGGAGGGGCGGGCGGCGAGCCCGGGGGGCGGGACTCGCCGGGACGGCAGCCAATGGGGAGTGAGGGGCGGGGCGCTCGACTAGCCTCGCCCCAGGCCTGGGAGCTGAGCGGCGGGGAAGAGGGAAAGCGCCCGGACTGGCGGACTCCGGGAGCCGCGGGGAGTAGCGGGGAGCAGCGGCGCTCCGTGAGTGATCTCCGGGACCCGGGGACGGAGGCGACCGGGAGAAGGAGGGGAAGTTGGACGGAGGGTAAAGAGAATGGCGGCTGGGAGTGCGATTGTGGGGAGCGGTTAGAGAAAGTGGAGGAAGGTGCGGTTGTGGCCGGGTGCGGGACCGTGGAGGAAAGTCTCTCGGGAAGGTCGCCAGGGGCTCTTGCCCTCTGCGGAGGGTTGTGTGACTGAGCTGTTCCTGGGGAGACACTACACAGGTCTCCTCGCCCCTGGTAGGGCTCCCACAGACAGACCAAAGTACAGATAGCACCAAAGTCCAACTTGGTGAACCCATGAGTTTTATTTTTACAGGAGTCTGTATGGGTGAGGGTTTACGTACAGGAGCAGAAATGACTCAAAGACAGCTGCATCTGTAAGACACACAACAGCTCGGGTGACAGCTCCCAAAGCTGGGAACCCAGCACGGTGACAGCTCCCAAAAGCTGGGAACCCAGCATGGGTGACAGATCCCGAAAGCTGGGAACCCTGCACTGGTGACAGATCCCAAAAGCTGGGAACCCTGCACGGTGACAGATCCCGAAAGCTGGGAACCCAGCACGGTGACAGATCCCGAAAGCTGGGAGCCCTGCATGGGTGACAGCTCCCAACATCTGGAGCACCCTGCACAGTCTGCAGACAGCTCAGCAGGTTGGAGAGTAGTGTGGTTTCCCAGAGACTCTGCTCTGAACCCCTTCAGCTGATGGTTTCTAATTCTTCCAGGCAGCTGGTCTGATCCCAGAGTCTTCTGTGAAGCCCAGCTTCCTTCAGTCTGAGGGGTGTTCTCAGCTTTTATCGCTAACTCTGGCAGGGAGGGACCTGGTGAATCTGGCCGGTTTCAGGGACTTCCTGATGCGATTTTTGTTTTACTTTCCTGTTTAAAGAGCTTCCTTGCCTAGTGGAAACTTATACAATATTGAAGCGCACGAATCTCAACAGAGTCCCAGGGCTCACCAGCGGGGAATCATTAGTGAGGAAACACACACACACACACACACACACACGACAGAATCTGAGAAACCAAGCTCTACTGGAGGAAAGACTCTGGGCTCAACTCAGGCTCTGAGAGTGAGCTAGGACTCTAAGTACAGGACTGGGAGACCGTAGAACGGCAAGTTTGATAGGAAGTCGAGTTCCATTCCACTGAGGAGTAAGATGTAACATTCTCCCAGAAAGAATCCCAGTGCTGCTTGGGAAACAATGTATGTATGCTAGCAGCCGGAATTTTGGATTGAGGCACACCTGAGTCCTACTCCTAAATACTTTATAACCTTCTGAAGTTCCTCCATTACTTCAAACATCGCTAAAGAGAAGTGATAGTATCTCCAGCATGGATAATTCCCAATAAAGTGGTTAGTGTAATTCCCTGCCACATTGTATGTACTTTAAAATACACTCACTCCTTTAATCCCAGCCGACAGTGAGCAGAAGCAGAAAGAGCGAGCTCTGAGTTGAGGCCAGATAGGGCTACGTAGTGAGAGTCTGTTTCAAATAAACAAATCTTTCTTGTTATCAAAAAAAGACGTTCCAGTAGGGCGGTGGTGGCTCATGCCAGCACTTGGGAGGCAAAGGCAGGCGAATCTCTGTGAATTTGAGGCCAGCCTGGTCTACAGAGTAAGATCCAGGGCAGGCGCCAAAATTACAGAGAAACCTTGACTCAAAAAAATAAAAAATAAAGAAAAGGTGTTCCTATCATTTAAGTTGAATGCAGCTATATTTAGCCTACAATTTATTACTTTAAGCCAAAGTTATAAAGGTATATTTAAAACTTATGTAATATCTACTACCTAAAGCTAATATAAAGCTACATATATTATGAATCATATAAAATAAGAAAATGAATGACTAAATATAGATTTCTTTTAATGGGCAGATGATTATGCCAGGAACATGGAAAAGGGCTTCAGAGATAATCATTGAATCTTGTTATACATTTCCAGGTAAAAAGAGGGAAAAATCATAAAGGTCTGTATCATTTTCATTATCAAAGAAACTTGTTTTTAAAGAGAAAAAAAATTGGGGCTGGAGAGATGGCTCAGAGGTTAAGAGCATTGCCTTCTCTTCTAAAGGTCCTGAGTTCAATTCCCAGCAACCACATGGTGGCTCATAACCATCTGTAAAGAGGTCTGGTGCCCTCTTCTGGCCTGTAGGCACACACACACAGACAGAATATTGTATACATAATAAATAAATAAATAAATATTAAAAAAAAAGAAAAAATTTCTCTGAAAGAAAGTTATTACCTAGAATAATGATTCTTTTAAGATATCATTTGTGTGCAGACTTTTGTGCTGCATGCCTGGAGGTCAGAAGACAACTTCATGGAATCCCTTCTCTCCTTCCACCTTTTTTTTTTTTTTCTTGGTATTTTGAGACAGGATTTCTCTGTGTAACAGCCCTGGCTGTCCTGAAACTTCCTCTTGTAGTCTAGGCTGGCTTCGTACTCACAGAGATACACCTGCCTCTGCCTCCCGAGTTTTGGGATTAAGGGTGTGTGCCACCACTGCCTAACTCCTTCCACCTTTAATGAGTTCGAGGCAGCCCAGTCTCCAGTGAGTTCCAGGACAGTCAAGACTACACAAAGAAACCCTGTCTTGAAAAATCCCAGAAAAGCATAGGCTTTGATGCTGTCGTTTTCTTTACTATACTTAATTCACAGCCTTATCCAAAGGGGACTGATAACTAAGGCTGGGGCTTCTGCTTTTCTAACCCAGACTGGAATGAGAGCACAGCCCTTGGGCGTGGATCTGAAAATTAGATCCATCCAAGGATAAGAGATGTCTTGCTACAAAGCAAAATTAAGGTCATGCTTTCACGAAGTCTGTTGTTGAAAAACAGTAAACAGCACACGCCCACGATACTGTTGCTGTTTGGGGGCCTACACACTGATGTGGACCACAGAGCTGCTAACATGTTAGTGGTAGAGGAGCCCCTGCCCTGAGCCTCCTCCGAAGCATGCCTCTGCCCTCTGCCGTTCTTGTTGTCCAGTGCTGCTCCGGTGAGCTGCAGCCATAGGATATCAACACAGATACCAAGAGAACTTCTCCCAGCACACCACTTTCGTTTCTATGTAATCTGTGTTTATGCTGCCTCATTCTTAAATATTTCTAATATGCCCCCAGCTGACAGCCGTAGATTCAAACTGTGACTCATGACTCATTGGCGTGTTTTCACCATCAATTTAGTGCGTCAAGATCAAAATTATACTAAAAATGAAAGAGAATTTTTAAAAAGGGAAATAATGCAGTCAGTCTAGGGGTCCTGAAGTGACACACACAGTCTAGGGGTCCTGAAGTGACACAGTCTGGGGTCCTGAAGTGACACAGTCTGGGGTCCTGAAGTGACACAGTCTAGGGCCTTGATCAGGTCATTTTTTTTCTCCCAGTTAAGGAATTACAAGGCAGGAAAAATCTGAGGTGCAACAGGTAAGAAGCAAGAGAGAAATCTAAACACCACCGACAGAATCAGCAGCTGAAGAAAGACTTTGAGTGAGGGTTGGAAACACACACACAGCAGGCACAGAAAAGAAGAAAGCCCCCATAAAGCAGAAGAAGGACTCAGGAAGCTGAAAAATGCAGTCTCTCTGTGTGCTGGGGAGGGGGGAAGGGGGGCGAGGAGGGTAAAGCCTCTGAAGAGCCTTCCTCCCTAATTTAGGATTGGTCAGTTTGTAGGAAGCTAGGATGGTTGACTGAGAACCATTGTGTGGCAGGTCCTGAGCAGGCCTTGAACTTGTTGGGCCAGTCCCTCACAGGGTGCCTGCTGTGAGAGGCAGAAGCCTACGGTGCCTTTGTTATAAGCTGTAGGGTTTTTATTCCAGTCAGAGGTGAGAAAGACTCTGGCCATCTTCTGAATTCGCCACCTTTGTTAACTAGCCATGGCCCCCTCCCTGTCTGTCTGCCTACCAGGAGGTCCATCTCCTAGTCTCTCAACAGGATCCCAAAATACTAAGCATAAGTATTGTTTTGAAGAACCAGTCTGCCTCCATTTTAGGTTTAAAAGTCATCTTTTCTTTTTCTTCTTCTTTAAATGAGCATCTGTGTGTTGCCTCCATGTTTGTCTTTGTGAGGGTGCTGGATCCCCTGGAACTAGAGTTACAGACGGTTGTGAGCTGCATGTGGAAACTTGAACCTGGTGCCCTGGAGGAGCCTTCAGTGCCCTTAAAACCCTGAGCCATCCCTCCAGCCCCCTTAAAAAGCCATCTTATAGTAAAAACAAACTTGGCTCATTCCTGTTTATGACTAAGTCTGTTTCTCAAGGACCCGGCTATGCACTACCTGTAACTTTAACTACAAATGGTTTTTGTTCCAGGAAACAGTAACCATGTTTTTGTGTCAAAGCGTTTTTATGACTGCCTGTTACTATTACTACCTTGATTCAACCACCTTGCAGTCATGCCTTTGTTTGAGCAGGTCCTTAGAACTAACTCTGCTTATATTCTGCTCCTATAACCCAGTCAGGGTGCCCACCAAATTCCTCAACTGGAAATCTCCTACCCCGAGCTATAAAAACTTGTCTTCCTCATGTCCAGCCTCTTGAGCCCCATGTACGTGAATAAAAAACCTGTTTTATTATTATTAATTAAAGCAAAAGATCACTTTAATTAATTGTTTGTTTTAATTAATTTAGCCTTGATGATTTGGGTCAGTGTCTCCTCCCATCTTTGGGATTAACAACTTCACAGTAATGATATACACAGTAACTAATGGAATTTATCCCAAGCATACAAAATTTGCTTTAACATACAAAAATCAGTCTCTATATTACATCATATTAACAGAATAAAGAGAAAGGACCATTCATTTCAATGCATGCAGAAAAAAAAAAAAAAAACCTTTGGCCAGGTGTGGTGGTGCGTGCACACCTTTAGTCCCAGCTAAACTCGGGAGTCAGAGGCAGGCGGATCTCTGCGAGTTCAAAGCCAGCCAGGGCTACAGAGAGAAACCCTGTCTCAAAGAAACTAGAGTAGCAACTAAGGAAGAGCCAAGAAGCCCTCATTCCTATTTCTATCAAACTGAATGGAAGGAGGAAGCCACTACCTCTTTAGTGCAGAGGAGATGGAATCGGGGCAGTTGATGGACTTGCAGAAGAATGTCTGTAGTATCCAGACAGTGTGGTGAGAAGATGGGCTGACGGACCAGGTTGCAGTCACCACCCTCTTCAAGCTGCTCAACCTCACAGAGTTACTGTCCATACCAGAAAATGGAACTGTGGTCTGCCTCTTGTAGTATCCTGAAATTGGTTCGTTGTTCATGTTGATATCATTACATTAGGATATATTTTACACATTGGCTTTTGAGCCATGAGGATGTTTAAACATTAATTTCAAACCAGAAGGATTTCAAACATCTTTGTAATGTTTGCTACAATGTAAATGTAAAATGGGGACTGGAGAGATGGCTCAGTGATTAAGAGCACTGGCTGCTCTTCCAGAGAACCTGGTTTTGATTCCCAGCACCCACATGGCAGCTCACATCAGCCTGTAACTCCAGTTCCAGGGGCTCTTTGTCCTCTGTAGGCACCAAGCATGTTCATGGTGCACAGAAACGCATGCAGACAAAACACCCATACACATAAAATTTAATAATAATAATGAGCATGGTGGTACAGACCTTTAATCCCAGAGTTCAGGACACAGAAGCGGGAGCATCTCTGTCAGTTCTAGGCCAGAGTGGTCTATATAGCAAGTTTCTGTTCGAGTTCTGGTCCAGTCATGACTACATAGTGAGACCCAGTCTTAAAGAAGTGCAGAGAAGCTTCTGGCTTAGATCTAGAAAGCTGGCTGGGGATGGCTAGAGAATGGGGAGAGGACAATAATACCAAAGTGACCCACACAGGACACAGAAAAGCTGGGGCAGGTGGGCGGTACTCCAGCAGCAGCAACAACTACCTCAGCACTTCTGGACTTCAGGGTGGTGGTTGTTATGTACAGCCCGGGGCAGGGGTCAGCTACTCTCTGTAGGAAACAGGAAGAAGGGAGAAGGATGCTACCATTGCTAGTATGCACACTGATCAGTTGTCCGTCAACACTTGGAGAAGAAAGAAGACTTTGCCAATTCCCCATGAGTCTGAGGCCTTGATCCCTGTAATGGCTGTACATTCAGAGTATCCCGCACTCGGCTTCCTCCTTTCCCTACAGACAGGAAGGAGTTAAAGAGATGGTGCATCAGATAAGAGTGCCTACTGCTCTTGCGGAAGACCCCGGTTTGGTTCCCAGCAAGCAAAGTGTCTCACAACCATGTGAAACTCTAATTCCAAAGGCTCCAGTGCCCTCTACTGGCCACTATGGGCTCCTGCATGCAGGTGGTGCAGTTTGCTCGTGCAAGCCTATGTCCACACACATAAACAAAGATAAACCTTTTTTTTTTTTTAACAAAGGGTAGGGAGCAGCACTGAAATGTGCGTGGCTGTAGAAAGGGCCACCTGAGAGTGTAGCAAGGTGACCATTTGCAAGTCATAAAAGGGTCTCACCATGAACCAACCATGCTGGCATATTTATCTTACATTCTGGCTTTCCAAAGTGAGAGAAGAAAGTTCTGCCATTGAAGCCACCTGTGGCATTTTGTGTTAGAAGCCATAGCACATGTCCCAAGGCACAGATACAGGCATCCTCTGCTCACACCAGTTTACTATTTCCCATAATTCATTTTGCTGCTCCTCAAAAGTTTTCTTAGGGACAGGGGACAGCTAAGTGGATAGAGGTTGACCACCTGGATTCCATCCTGGGATCCCACGAGGTGGCCGGAAAGAAGCAGGTCTAACCTCGACATAAACACGATGTGACTTGCACACACAGACTGTAAAAATAATAACAATTTTTTGACGGGTCTCACTGCGTGGCCCTGGGTGGCCTCAGTTAGCTGCCTCCGCTGACTGCCGAGGGCAAAGGTTACACCATCATGCTCAGTAGTTTTAGGTTTTAAAAAATTATCTTGTGTTTCTGAAAAAGGAACTACTTTGTTGGATTATTTAGTTATTTGTTGGTTGATTGATTGGTTGGATGAGACAGGATCCTTCTATGTAGCCCTGGCCTCCATTTAAATTAAATTTACAGCCGGGAGGTGGTGGCTGTTGTTCCTAATTTCTGACTGGCTTTCTTGTCTGCGGGTTAGAGGGTAAAGACATTACGTGGGTGCACTTTTAATGGGGGAGGGGTAACAGCGGGCAGGTAAAGGTGTGTGGACACGACAGGAGAGGGGGGGAGGAAAAAGGGACAGGGTCATAGCGACCCTCGCCTTTTAACGAGGAATGCAAAGGCTTCTGGGAAATGTGTCCGTGGTCCAGGGGAACGCTGGGAACTGTAGTTCCGCAAAGGAATAACAGTGGCGCACGCCTTTAATCCCAGCACTCGGGAGGCAGAGGCAGGCGGATCTCTGTGAGTTCGAGACCAGCCTGCAGCCTGATCTACAGAGCTAGTTCCAGGACAAGCTCCAAAACCACAGAGAAACCCTGTCTTGAAAAAAAACCAAACAAATAAATAAATAAATAAATTTACAGATGGCAAGTGATAATGGTTGGAAGTAAAGAACTTCCTTTGGGTGACCTGCCCGTACTTAGCTTATCATGGCTGGCTCCCACAGTTGCACTTAGGTGCCTACAGAATGTGGATAGGGGACTTCCTGGGAGCTGGGAACTCAGTGGTGTGTATAAATAGGCACTTAGTAGTTTTAATTGTGGAGGGACAAGTAAATGCTTTATTTTCAAAAGCAAGGTGTTGAGCTTTTTTTCCACTTTAATTATTTTGTTTTGGTTTCATTGTTGTTTTAAGTTTTTTTTAAAGATTGGTTTATTTTATGTATATGAGTGCCTTTATGCCAGAAGTAGGCATCAGATCCCACCATGTAGTTACTGGGAATTGAACTCAGGTCCTCCAGAAGAACAGCTAGTGTTCTTAACCTCTGAGCCATTGCACCAGCCTTGGCTGTCCTAGAACTCACTTCCTAGAGCAGGGTGGTCTTGAACTCTGCCTAGAACACCACCACACGTCACTAAATCTCCATTTCCAGACTTTATCCTGAGGGTTACCTCTGGAGTCTTTAGAATACTTGTCATCTCTGCTCTCTGTGCTTTCGTGATTCTGGATCCCAAGAATAATGTCTATGTCTTAGAGAAATGCTCAGTAACTGGGCAGTGGTGGCGCACACCTTTAATCCCAGCTCTCAGAAGACAGAGGCAGGTGGATCTCTGTAAATTTGAGGCCAGCCTTGTCTACAGAGTGAGTTCCAGAACAGCCAGTGCTACACAGAGAAACCCTGTCCCAAAAAACAAGAGAGAGAGAGAGAGAGAGAGAGAGAGAGAGAGAGAGGATTTACAATGGGGTGAGAATCTTGTTAGAGAAGGGTACCTCGTGTGGAGAATTGGGGCATCTATCTCTGGATTTTGGAGTGTTTTCAACATTCCTTAGTGACTGACTTGGCGCCTTTTTCTTTAACTTCAGATTGCAGCTTGGTTACTGATGGCTTCCCCTAAAATTGCTTCCCTCTCTTGGGGGCAAATGAAAGTGCAAGGCTCTACCTCAACCTACAAGGATTGCAAAGTATGGCCCGGAGGCAGTCGGGCTTGGGACTGGAGAGAAACAGGAACTGAGGTAAGATTCTGTGATGAGACTGGCTGACGCTCCAGGAGGCTGACCAGTGAGATTCTGTGATGAGACTGGCTGACGCTCCAGGAGGTTGACCAGTAGGCTGCAGTGATAGACTGGCTGACCTCAGGAGGTTGACCAGTAGGCTGCAATGATAGATTGGCTGACCTCAGGAGGTTGACCAGTAGGCTGCAGTGATAGACTGGCTGACCTTCAGGAGGTTGACCAGTAGGCTGCAGTGATAGATTGGCTGACCTCAGGAGGTTGACCAGTAGGCTGCAGTGATAGATTGGCTGACCTCAGGAGGTTGACCAGTAGGCTGCAGTGATAGATTGGCTGACCTCAGGAGGTGGACCAGTAGGCTGCAGTGATAGATTGGCTGACCTCAGAAGGTTGACCAGTAGGCTGCAGTGATAGATTGGCTGACCTTAGGAGGTTGACCAGTAGGCTGTAGTGATAGATTGGCTGACCTCAGTAGGTTGACCAGTAGGCTGCAGTGATAGACTGGCTGACCTCCAGGAGGTTGACCAGTAGGCTGCAGTGATAGATTGGCTGACCTCAGGAGGTTGACCAGTAGGCTGCAGTGATAGACTGGCTGACCTCCAGGAGGTTGACCAAGTAACTTCTTACCTCCTCTTCTCTGCCAAGAATGTTCATCACCGTTGAACTGCCCCTTTTGAAGTACATAATGCAAGGCTGAAAGCTGGTTGAGAATACCGACTACTCTTCCGGAAGATCTGATTCGATTAGCGCTCTCACGGCGACTCACAACCATCTGTCACTCCAGCATCCGTACAGACATACATGTAGGCAAAACACCCATGATGGTGTACAGACATACATGTAGGCAAAACCCCCACTCACACACACACAACAGACTACACAATGCAATGTAATGGACCCAAAATTCCACTCATATTCATGAACTTGTACAGTTGCTATTCTCGGAATTCTGGGATATATTTATTAACCCCCAAGAGAGCCCCTGCAACCGTGAACAGCCAATGCCACTTTCTCCGTCTGCACGTCCAGCTCCTGGAATGACTTTTTATTTGTTTGGGAATTCAGTCCTAAAGCGGCAAAACTATAGGCAAGATCAGGCTACTGGCTTGGTGTTACAGGAGGGGCCGCTTGTAACACCTGGCCACTTAGCCCCAAAATAATCACACAGAAAAATTAAATCACTGCTTGGCCCATTAGCTCTAGCTTCTTATTGGCTAACTCCTACATATTCACTTAACCCATCTCCATTAATCTGTGCATCACCACGAGGTCGTAGCCTAACAGCAAAGTTTCAGCACGTCTGTGTCTGTCTCCAGCAGTGGCTCCATGGCTACTCTCTGACTCCACCCTTCTTCCTCCCAGCATACAGCCTGCCTTTCCCCACCTAGGTTTGTTCTTCCCTGCCGTAGGCTCAAAGCCGTTCTTTATCCATTAACCAATAAGAGCAACACAGAGACAGAGAGACCTCCCACACCAGCTTGGTTGAGAGGAAAGAGACCTAGACACACATGTTGAAAGGAGAGGTGGGCATCGGGACTGGACTTCCAGCTCCTTTCTGACGTGGTTTGCCCTCAGAACAAAGCTGTATGTGGGCCTGGCGATCCCGTATTACAAGTGCAGCAGGGTTAGGCCAGTGCGGTTTGGGTCTGAATCTTATGCACTGCCCCACAGAATCCCCCATTCCTGGGCATGCCGGCCATGGGCAAGCATGTAACAGAAGACCCTTTTCAACCCGCCTTCTTAGTGAGACAGTGGGAAGGTTGCTGACACTCAGGGCTCCCATAGCCAGAAGCTGGAGGGAGGGAGGCTAAGATCACTGTGGAGAACTGTGGTCAGAAGTTTCACCCTTACTGTGGCAGAAAAGGAGCCAGGGCCCTGGGAGAGTCGAGATTGGCAGAGAGGCTGGCACTCAGGCGAGGGACAATGAGAACACAACCCAGACAATATCTAGAGGGCATAGACTCCCGCCATCTTTACCGCAGTACAGCCAGCGACTAGTACTCCTGCTGTCCATGCAAGCCTGTTACTGTGCAGAAGGGAAAGGTTCTTTGAAAGCTTAATTTAGCCATGTTTCCTTTTCAGTTTAATCATAAAATTTCTGAGCCACAAAGGATGAAATCCTCTTGTCTAGCTGCTCTACTGGGTAGCAGTCAACACACTGCTACGATTATTAGCTTTCCCCCAAGAAAAACCTGAGCTTCACAGCCCTAGGCTGTGTGATAAAAAGCCTCTTAATAGAGAACAGAATCATGCTCTGTGAGAGCCTCGGTTGCCTTGAGGACCTGGAAGCATACAGGAGCTGAGGGCAGGTGGAAAACAGCACCGCTCCGATTCCAGGTTCCCAGAGAAGCTGAGAGTAATTGCTGTCCGCGCCTGGATCCACTGGCCCCTGCTGTTATCTTTTACTGCTTGGCGCACGACACTGTAGGCCTGCAGGTCAGCACGGCTGAACCCGTCAGTGCGTTTCACTGAAGCAGCAGCTCTGCTGGGTTCCCGCTAGCTCTAGTCTGACTGCCGAGGATCACAGTGTTGCCTGCTGACAACCTCCCTGCACTTCCAGCCGCCAGCGGTCCTGTTTCATGATAGCCACTGCCCTGAAACAACGTGCGCCCCAAGAGTCGGGGAGGGGGTGGGGTCGTGGCTCTGTTCAAAACAGTTGCGAGTCGTTGTTAAATGAAGTAACTGTCCAGGAATTTGCATAAGTGCATTTATTTAAGGAAGGTGAAGTTCTCCAACCCTGGCCTGTAATTCTAGTAAATGTTCACTGTGGTTATAGCTCCAGAAAAAAAAAAAAAAACACTAAATTTTTTTAAATCATGTTTATTAGTTTAGTTCACGGTGGATCTGAGATTGATCAGAGAGTGTGGCCTGAGAAGAGCGTCTGATTAATTCTTTTATAGTCTTAATAAATAGTTGTGATCAATCCCAGCACGTGGGAGGCAAAGGCAGGCAGATCTCTGTGAGTTCGAGGCCAGCCTGGTCTACAAGAGCTAGTTCCAGGACAGGGTCCAAAGCTACAGAGAAACCCTGTCTCAAAAAAGCAAAACAAAAAAAAGTTGTGATCATGTATGTCCCTTTTCCAGTTTGTCCTTAAAAATGTTCAGTATTGCCGGCGGTGGTGGCGCACGCCTTTAATCCCAGCACTTGGGAGGCAGAGGCAGGTGGATCTCTGTGAGTTCGAGACCAACCTGGTCTACAAGAGCTAGTTCCAGGACAGGCTCCAAAAACACAGAGAAACCCTGTCTCGAAAAATCAAAAAAAAAAAAAAGTTCAGTATTTAAACATTAAAATCTGCAGCTGAAGAGATGCCTCAGAAGTTGTCAGCGCTTGTTTCTCTTCTAGGGGACCCGGTTTACAATTGTCTGTAACTCCATTTCTGGGGATCTGACACCCCTTTCTGACCTCCAGACACTAGACATGCTCCTGGTACACAGATATTCATGTAGGCAAAACACATGCAAAACACACATAAAACCAAATCCATAAACTTTTTAAAGTCTCAAATACTTTTCTATTTTTTATTTTATTTTGTGTGTATAGGTGTTTTGCCTGCATGCATCTCTGTGCAACACTTGCATGCAGTGTCCAAAGGCGTTGGACCCCTTGACTGGAGTTACAGGCAGTTCTGAGCCACCATATATGCCGGAACTCCAAACTGGGTCCTCTGGAAAAGAACCAGTGTTCTGTTGTTGTTGTTTTTATTTATTTCACATACCAACCACAGTTCTCCCTCCCTCCCCTCCTTCCACTCCCTCCTCATCACCCTCCAAACCACACACACACACACACACACACCTCATCCACTCCTCAGAAAGGGTAAGGCCTTCCATGGGGAGTCAACAAAGCCTGGCACATTTAGTCAAGGCAGGATCAAGCCCCTCCCCTCTGCATCAAGGCTGAGGAAGGCATCCTGCCATATGGAGTGGGCTTCAAAAAGCCAGCTCATGCACCAGGGACAGTATTTTGGTTTTTTGAGGCAGGGCTTCTCTATGTAGCAGCCCTGGATGTCATGGAGCTTGTTGTGTTGACCAGGCTGAAAAAGTTTTTGTATGAACATGAATTTTCATTTCAAGATTTCTTTTTTTCGCTTTGGTGGGGTTTAATTGAGAGAAAAGTCATAAAAAAAAAAAAAGGAGGGAGGGGATGGGGGAGACTAGCCTCTGGGAACAGGAGCTGTGGAAGTGTGGAAGAGGAGAGAGAGAAGGGGGAGTATATTTGGGGGCTGGGGAAAAGGCTCAGCAATTCAGAGCACTGGCTGCTCTTGCAAAGGTACTGAGTTCAGTTCTCAGTAACCACATGGTAGGTCAAAACCGTTTGTAATGAGATCTGGTGCCCTCTTCTGGCCTGCAAGTAGACCTGCAGGCAGAACACTGTATAGCTATTTTAAATAAATCTTAAAAAAAAAAAAAATCCTGGAGCTGGGGGTGGAAGGTGTTGAAATACGGAGCGGCGGGCTGTGTCCCGCCACCCAGCTAGCTTTACCCGAAATAATTACACGGAAACTGTATTCTTTTAAACACTGCCTGACCCATTAGTTTCAGTTTCTTATTGGCTAGCTTTTACATATTAATCTAACCCATCTCTATTAATCTGTGTAGCCCACGAGCTGGCTTACCAGGAATGATCTTAACCTGCATCTGTCTGGAGTGGGAGAATCATGGCGACTCCCTGACTCAGCTTCTTTCTCCCAGCATTCCGTTCTGTTTACTCCGCCTACCTAAGGGTTGGCCTATCAAATGGGTCTAGGCAGTTTCTTTATTAATAAGAAATTACTCCCACATCATTTCCCCTTTTTCTGTTTAAACAAAAAAGAAAGGCTTTAACTTTAACATAGTAAAATTACATATAGCAAAACAGTTATCAAGCAAGAATTACAGTTTCAATATTTATATCTATTTTATCTTTTATCATAACTAAGGAAAACTATAACTGTCTATTCATTCTTCAACTCCATCAAAGACTCCAGAAGGATATAATACTACCTAAGTAAACAAGAAATAAGAAAACTCTAGAAATGACAGAGACATCTCGCTGCCTGGACAGTCACCCAAAGTTCTTTTGTACGGTTGGGGCATCCATCTTCAGCCTTCAGGCCCATAGTATCCAGCAGACATTTTCATGAAGCAGGAAATTTCAAAGACAGTTCAGTCACTATCTGCTGTGTTCTGCAGAATGTCTCGCAGACTCTTTCATGAGTCATGAACCCCAAAAGACCGTCTCACCTTTAGGCAAGTTCAGCAGTCCTCTCTCTGCGGGTTCTCTGTGTCCATTTTATGCAACAGTCCAGGCAAGAGCAGTTTCTTGCCCAAATGGCTATCCAACTCCATAAGGATCCTCTTCGATGCCCATCTTCCTCTCGAAGTAGATTGGTGCCACCAGGAGCAGATATGTCTCATTGTCATGAAAAGTCCTAAGTTATTAAAACATTAAATGCCATATTCTGCAGTCTTTGAAAGATATGAAGAATGTCTATCTAACTGAAATGTATCTCTATATATCTAGAAAATCTAACTAACATGACTACAAGCTTTACTATTATCGATGATTAACCATTAACCTATATTTCTTAATTATACATTACATTTTTAAATGAACTACACAATCATAATACCTTAATCAAGATCAGAAATACATATACATATAACAAAATTGACTGTAAAATCCACACCAATGCAAATTACTCATACCTATATCATTTCCCCCTTTAAATGTAAAAGAACATTTATAAACAATATTTTGGGAACATGGGCGCAGTTTTTTCTCTCCAAACTGCTTCCTGCTGAATGGGGGCGCTGTTAATCAGATCATTTAGGGTGTAACCTGTGTGTCAGGTTTATCTCAGTTGCCAGTTGAGTGAAGTAATTTTTTGAGGGTGTTCACAGGAACTTTTCGGGAGGTCGTGGTCTATCATACCATATCGGGATAGATGCAATCCATAGGGTCTGGTCCTCTGTGAAAACAAAAGAAGACCCTTTCCAAAGCATCATATCCTTAGACCCAAATTCTGAAGTCATACCCTCATGATATCCGTTTTGGTTCCACTTGGCAGCCCATAGAATGAAATGTCTCTCTGTACTTAGCTCCTTCACAGTCAAAAATTTTAAAGAAAACACAATGTACATAATCCAGACTCTCTGTGAATTTTTCATTTTTACGTGGCTTATTTTTCTTTATTTCTTTTAATCTCTTAACTATCTGTACTCTGTCTCTTTAAAGACTTTACCTTTTTTTTTTAAACCATTAACTTTATTTTTTATATTGTTTTTCTTCTGTCTCTCAAGTCTATGTGTATTCATCCAACAGTGTGGTCTTTTATGTCTGAATCTGTTTTATTGTGAATCTGTAACATTTTTTTACTATCCAGGAGCATTTCTTAAAATGTTAAGCAGTTCTTAAAAACTTAAGTTGCGCCATGTACAGGTAATACGGTACCGCCTGTGTCCTGCCCAGTTGAAACCTTAACTGCGCTGTTTTTATGGTAATTACGGTAGTTCCTGCCTGAGACCAGCACAGTTTAGCATGGCAGAACTGAGCCAAGCCGCTCCTGCCTTAGAGCCATTTGGTGCCCCTGAGCCACACACAGTTCTAGGCACACAGCAGTCCACATTGCCATCAAGCAAGCCGTAGAGCTTTATTCCAAATGTTCCATTTAAAAGCTTTGTCTCCCACAGGAGCCAGACAGAGATCGCAATGGCGGCACAGCCCAGAAAGCCGGCATTTTAAAACAGCCAGTTTTTTTCCTGCTGTTGAGTCAGGACAATTTCTTTGCGGCACGCAACCCACAAACAGCAAAAAGCTGTCTTAAATTCTCTCTCTCTCCTTTTTAAGCCCTCTCAGGTTTTATGTGGAGTTCATTAGCATGTTGGGCGCCACTCTGTTGAAATACAGAGCGGCGGGCTGTGTCCCGCCACCCGGCTAGCTTTACCCAAAATAATTACACGGAAACTGTATTCTTTTAAACACTGCCTGACCCATTAGTTTCAGTTTCTTATTGGCTAGCTTTTACATATTAATCTAACCCATCTCTATTAATCTGTGTAGCCCACGAGCTGGCTTACCAGGAATGATCTTAACCTGCATCTGTCTGGAGTGGGAGAATCATGGCGACTCCCTGACTCAGCTTCTTTCTCCCAGCATTCCGTTCTGTTTACTCCGCCTACCTAAGGGTTGGCCTATCAAATGGGTCTAGGCAGTTTCTTTATTAATAAGAAATTACTCCCACATCAGGAAGGAACCATAAAGAAACCCTGCCTCAAAACAAGCAAGCAAATAAATAATAAAAGCGGGAAGAACAGGGAAGTGCAAGCACCAAAGCCTTCATTCTCACTGCACAGAGAAGGAATCTGACCTGGGCGCAGAGGACCCAGCTGGCAGTGGTAGAGCTGGGATTTGAACTCAGACACACACTGCTTCTGCTCTACTGAAGGCTCTTTCTGGACTCCAGTGCTGAGGAGCAGCCTTGAAGTCTGAAAGGCTGAAACCTAATGACTAGATACAGCTGTGATTGCTCTATAGAGTCCCCACAGGAAAATCTTCTTTTCCTCTCCTTCCTCCACTGGAGAGCTAAAAGGCTAAGAGAGGGGACAGAATAAAATATTTAAAATTACTTCATTAAAATTGAAAAAACAAACCTAGAGTCTGTAATCACACCTCCTGTGTGTGCATTTTCCCGTGGCTCCTCTGAGACAGGCAGCACACACACACACACACACACACACACACTCTCTCTCTCTCTCATTTGTTTGGGTTTTTGTTGTTTTTTTCTTTTTTCTTTTTTTTTTTTTTTGTTTTGTTTTGTTTTTCTAGAAAAGGTTTCTCTGTAGCTTTGGAGCCTGTCCTGGAACTCACTCTTGTAGACCAGGTTGGCCGCGAACTCACAGAGATCCACCTGTCTCTGCTTCTCGAGTGCTGGGATTAAAGGTGTGCATCACCACTGCCTGGCCAAAAAAATTAAAAAATAATTCTATTGTGAAGAAAGCTTGGTACCTCTGTTCTCTCCTCCATACCCAGCATTCCCCTGGAGTGCAGCCTGCAGACGTGAAGGAAGTCGCTGAGAAGGGCGTGCAAACCCTGGTGATTGGCAGAGGGATGAGTGAGGCCCTGAAGGTAGGTTCTGGTGTCCGCAACATTCCTGAGGACAGACATTGTCTCTTGGACCGTAGCTTTACACATACCTCCTTCGCTGGAGTTCAGCTCCATGTCATGCCCTCTCGTTGCTGAGCAGTAAGAGACCGAGGATGCGTGAGACTGTGTACATGATTCCACTTTGTCAGAAGGGGATTTCCAAGTCTGTGCCCAGCCCTGACTGTGGTTTTTTGGTTTTGGTTTTTTGTTTGTTTGTTTTGATTTTTGAGACAGGGTTTCTCTGTAGTTTTTGGTGCCTGTCCTGGAACTAGCTCTTGTAGACCAGGCTGGCCTGGAACTCACGGAGATCCTCCTGCCTCTGCCTCCTGTGTGTTGGGATGAAAGGCCTGCATCACCACTGCCCGGCTTAGCCAGCTTTTCTTAACTTGAATCTACCTTTCGCCTCTGGGCTTTTATCTTTTTCTATTTCTGTATACCTTATTTTCACTCTTACGCCTCTGCTGGCTGTGTGGCTGACCCCTAGCGTCCTCTTCCCCTTGTTCCTGCTCCTCCTTCTCCTCCTCTCAGATTTCTCCTTTTGTTTACCCTCTCTGCCTGGCAGCCCCACCTATCCTTGCTCCTGCTTTGCTATTGACTGTTCTGCTCTTTATCAGACCAATCAGGTGCTTTGGACAGGCAAAGAACCACAGCTTCAGGGAGTTAAACAAACACATTAAAAACTGCAACCCATCTTTGCATCATTAAACAAATGTTCCACAACATCAATAAATGTAACGCATGTTAAAATCATAGCCTACAACCCTATCCCTGATTCATAAACACAGAATTAAGAGAAATAAGTGCTGAGTTAGATTCCTTACCCAGAGTTACACTGCTGGAAAGGCTTCAATCCAGGGCTGAGTCAAAATGTCGTATCCCCCTTTTCTTTTCACCAGGGCTAAAGCATGGGTATGAGACCCTTTGAGCACGTGACTGTGGTCTGTTTTTCCCACCCTGGTATTGGGAGTGAACTCGGCCACACGCATGCACACACTCTGAACCACTGTGACTCCAGCTCCTCAGAGGCTTTTCTGAAGCTCACTGGGGCTCCCTGCCCCATGCTGGAGTGATGACGCTCCAGGTGACTGAGAAGTGACAGGTGCTCTGATTCTTCGAAGTACACTTGCCTTAGGACAGGAAAGAAGTCTCTGGGGCCCCTTTCCCCCTTCTTAGTCATCTCTCTCCCTTCTCTCCAGGTGCCGCCATCCACTGTGGAGTACCTCGAGAAACAAGGCATTGATGTGCGGGTCCTCCAGACGGAGCAGGCGGTGAAGGAGTATAATGCCTTGGTTACCCAAGGGGTCAGAGTGGGAGGCGTCTTCCATTCCACCTGCTGATGGAGCCCACGGAGGGGAATAAATCACTAAGCAATGATGCCTTGCCTGTCTCTCTTACCGTTCTCCACTGCAGCCCCCACCGTGCATTCTGAGCATGGGGTTATGTCTGGGGCTGGACTGACAGAAGAGTAAGGCGGAGTTCCTGCCCTCCGGGTTGCTCAGATCAGAAAGCTTACTGAAATTCAGTAGTGCAGCCTGTTAGGTTCATACAGAAAAGGTTGGAAAAGTTCAGAGCATTAAAGGTCTCATCACAGTTGATGCCTTGGAACCTTTATCCATAAAGCCAACTTTTGTTGGTGGGCTTGGGCAGGGTGGATTCAAGATGGAATCACTTACATGGCCATGCCTATGTAGAGTCCTGGAACTTGCTTTATAGACTTCTCCTGCCTCTGCCTTGTGAGTGCTGGGATTAAAGGCGTGCGCCACCACTGCCCAGTTTAGTTTTTAATCTTAAGGATGTGTGGGAGAGCCAGGCAGGGCAATACACAATTGTAATCCAGCACTGCAGAGGGGAGGGGAAACCACAAATTCCAGACTAGCATGGTCTACGTACCAGAAGCCCAGCAGGAGCACAAGGAGGGGAGCTGGGAAAGGATGACCTGATGGAGAAGCAGCAGCTGCTGGTGATGGATGCCTCCAGCTAGGCATCTGTAGATTACTGTTAGCCAGGCTGTGCAGCTAGGCATCCGTAGATTACTGTTAGCCAGTCTGTGCAGCTAGGCATCCGTAGATTACTGTTACCCAGTCTGTGCAGCTAGGCATCTGTAGATTACTGTTAGCCAGTCTGTGCAGCTAGGCATCCATAGATTACTGTTACCCAGGCTGTGCAGCTAGGCATCTGTAGATTACTGTTAGCCAGTCTGTGCAGCTAGGCGTCTGTATTAGCTGTTACCCAGGCTGTGCAGCTAGGCATCCGTAGATTACTGTTAGCCAGGCTGTGCAGCTAGGCGTCTGTATTAGCTGTTACCCAGGCTGTGCAGCTAGGCATCCATAGATTACTGTTACCCAGGCTGTGCAGCTAGGCATCTGTAGATTACTGTTAGCCAGTCTGTGCAGCTAGGCGTCTGTATTAGCTGTTACCCAGGCTGTGCAGCTAGGTGTCTGTATTAGCTGTTACCCAGGCTGTGCAGCTAGGCATCCGTAGATTACTGTTAGCCAGGCTGTGCAGCTAGGCACCCGTAGATTACTGTTAGCCAGTCTGTGCAGCTAGGCATCCGTAGATTACTGTTAGCCAGGCTGTGCACCTAGGCATCCGTAGATTACTGTTACCCAGTCTGTGCAGCTAGGCGTCTGTATTAGCTGTTACCCAGGCTGTGCAGCTAGGCGTCTGTATTAGCTGTTACCCAGGCTGTGCAGCTAGGCGTCTGTATTAGCTGTTACCCAGGCTGTGCAGCTAGGCGTCTGTATTAGCTGTTACCCAGGCTGTGCAGCTAGGCGTCTGTATTAGCTGTTACCCAGGCTGTGCAGCTAGGCGTCTGTATTAGCTGTTAGCCAGGCTGTGGATTAGAGAGCAATTTAAGGTGGACTTTATAGGAAAAAACAACTAGAGTGAAGCAGGAAGTGAGCAGGTCAGGTTAGCTCTACTCATGCGTCTTCATCTCTGTCAAGCAATCCTAGTGCCCTGGTCACTGCGAGTTCCTCACGGACTTGACAGCCCCTGCAGATCTGGGGAGGTCCTCCCTAGTACCCTTGTCAGATGACTGACAGAACCTTCCTACTATGTACCCTCGGCTTATAAAGCCAGTCCTGGGTGGGTATGAGGGATGTCTGGTAATGTAATCCCCGCCCCCAGTCTAAATTAAGATGGCTCCAGTGGGTACTGAGTCAGGTATGGTTATAACTGCATCACAACCTGCATTGTCATTATGGAATTAATAAGAAATCATAAGGGGGTGGGGGAAGCAGTAAAAACTTCCTTGACTGGGGCTGGAGAGATGGCTCAGTGGTTAAGCGCACTGACTGCTTTTCCAAAGGTCCTGAGTTCAATTCCCAGCAACCACATGGTGGCTCTCAACCATCTGTAATGAGATTTGATGCCCTCTTCTGGCCTGCAGGCAGATATGCAGGCAAAACACTGTATACATATTAAATAAATAAATAAATCTTTAAAAACAAAACTTCTTTGACTGAGAAGTGTCTGGCAGTCGGGTCATTAGCCTTCATATAAAAGCTGCTAATAAATAATACCCGCTTCCAATCCAGTCTGTATGGCCAATGCTGGATACAGAACACGGAGAGAAGCTGTTCTGTGGAGTTATACTTAGTCCCCTCTATTAATCTTCTAAGTCTTTGATTCAGTTTGCAGGAAGCACAGCTCTCATTTGTTCTAGCCTGAGGCCTGAGTGGTTCCTAAGACAAGAATCAGCCATGTGTCATGTGAACTCTTCAGAAGCCTGGACTCAGGATTTGCTTTGAAGAGCTGGGCTAAAGACACGCCACCATGATCGTCTCCCGTCAGTGAACGTGTGGAGGAAGATGTAGGAAACTAAAGGCTCTCGTGTTTCCTAGAACCAGACATTTCTGAGTGCAAGGTTGAGCCTACCTCATCAAATAATTGAATTCCTCAGCCACAGGCTTGTCGGGATTTGCTCAATGTCTCTAAACTCCACCAGCACGGCAAACTCACAGATCCTAGTGCAGCCCACAGTTCTCACAGCTTTGAAAAAGGCATCCTGCCACTAGGGCAAAACCTAGTATAATACCTATAATGTATGTCCACCTCGACACAAAGTCTATCTGGGGCTTTAAGAAAAGTACACGACCTGGCCTGGACTCTGAGGAAACACTAGAAGCCTGTTTCCCAGCTGTAATGGAGAGAAGCTGGAAGGAAATTTGAACATTTTTAAGCTTGTGTGTGCACCTGTCTGTGAAATTGTGCCGACACCTGTGGAGGCCAAAAGAGGCTTCGGCGTCATTGGAGCTGGAGCCACAGGTGTTTGAGTCACCCAAATAATAGTGGGATCCACACTCCTGCGGTTAAGTGTGCTGGGAGGGACAAGCAGCATACCAGACCAGAGCTACCTCTCCAGCTCCTGGCAGGAAGTTTTAAAAGGGAGCCATTTACAGCGTATTATTCCATTAGATCTTCAAATGTTACACCATAACGGGCTCAGTCAGCAGCCACGGGTCTTAACGCTTCATCTTTGCCACCATCCAGCCGGTCATCAGCTCAGGGTCAAGGAGCTGTCATTCAGCATGTCTTTAAACTCCATCTCCTATGGTAGGTGTCTTTTCTGGGTATTGTACCATTCTGACACGAAAGCCCGATGGGGAAAGTCCACTCCCTGGATGCTCCCCTCCCACCTCCCACCTCCATAGCAGTTACTGCCTCTCGGAGCTGGACAGCGTGACCAGGCTACAAGTCCCAGGCGTGCAAGCTGGGAGCTATGGGACACAGGGCAAGTTAGGTAATTTCAGTTTTGATTGGGTTTTTAAGAATTTGATTAATATATAAGTGGGGTGAAGAGCAGGCACACACATGAAGGGGAACACGGAGGTCAGAACACAACCTGGAGGAGCAGGTCCTTTCCTTTCACAATTTGGGTCCCAAAGAACTTAAGACGCTGTCCTGATGGAAAGAGCCATCTCACTGGCCTGGTTTCTCTAAATTTTAATTATTTTGTTTACCAAATGAAGGTAGGAGTAACTACTTTGTAGAGCAGTTGGAAGTTAGTTCGTGTAAAGAGTTACAGCGCCAAGCACAACTGGAAAGTCGCGTGCTGCTAAGTTCCAGCTTCACCTCTTCGTGGTGCACTTACTTTTGCTATTACTTGTCTAAGCTCTCCGCGTTCCAAATGTGATCAAGACAGGCTGTGGAGGGGGCTGGAGAGATGGCTCTGTGGTTAAGAGCATTGCCTGCTCTTCCAAAGGTCCTGAGTTCAATTCCCGGCAACCACATGGTGGCTCACAACCATCTGTAATGAGATCTGCTGCCCTCTTCTGGTCTGCAGACATACACACAGACAGAATATTGTATACTGTATACATAATAAATAAATAAATATTAAAAAAAAAAGACAGGCTGTGGATGCAGGAACTGCCCGTGTCACCGAATCCATCTCATTCAATGGCCCTTGCTTGACCTATGTCCTAGTTAGAGTTGCTATTGCTGCGGTGAGCCATGACCAAAAGCAACTTGGGGAGTGAAGGGTTTGTTTTATTTGGCCTACAGATCCCAAGTCACAGTCCACTGAGGAGAGGCACAGCAGGAACTCACATTGGGTGGGAACCCGGAAACAGGAGCTCATGGAGGCTTGCTCAACTTGCTCTTACGGAACCCAGGAATGTCCCTACCCACAGTGCACTGTGCCCTCCCCCTCAGCCACTAAGAAATGCTCTGTTGCTTCCTACAGCTCCATTCTCTCAGCTGAGGCTCCCTCCTGAGGTGACTCCAGCTTGTGTCGAGTGGACACAAAACTAGCCAGCACATGTGCTCATTCCTGCTTTACAACACACCGGATGGCTGGACAGCCATCGTGTGAAGTCTTTTTTTTTTTTTTTTTAATTTTCAAGACAGGGTTTCTCTGTGTGGCCCTGGTTGTCCTGGAATTCTGTGTAGACCAGGCTGCCTCTGTCTCCCAAGTGCTAGGATTAACGCATACATGTGGAGGCCAGAGGTGATTTCAGTGTTCTCAATTGCTTCCCATCTTAAAAAAACAAAACAAAACAAAACAAAAAAAACATGTATTGGGAGCTGGGGAGATGGCTCAGTAATGAAGAGCCCTGGCTGCGGAGGAGCTGGTTCACATGGACTCACAGTTGTTTTTAACTCCAGTTCCAGGGGACTGGAGAGCACCGGGCACACAGGTAGTCACATATACCCTACAAATGCAATCGATTTTATTTTATTTTATTTATTTATTTATTTTTTTGTTTTTCGAGACAGGGTTTCTCTGTGGTTTTGGAGCCTGTCCTGGAACTAGCTCTTGTAGACCAGGCTGGTCTCGAACTCACAGAGATCCGCCTGCCTCTGCCTCCTGAGTGCTGGGATTAAAGGCATGCGCCACCACCGCCAGGCTTATTTTATTTTTTTTTTAA